ATTATAATTATTATAATTATTATTGTTATTATAATATTTGTAATTATTATTATATTATTCTTATTATTATTACTTTTATTATTACTATTATTATATTATTAATATATTTTGTATTTATTATATTATTATTATTATTATTATTGTTATTATTAGTATTATTTATTATTAAATATCATTATTATTATTATATTAATAATAATTATTATTATAATTATAATTATTATTATTATTATTATTATAATTATTGTAATTATTACTATTACAATTATTATTATTATGATTATTATTATTATTATTAATATTATTATTATTATATAATTATTGTAATTATTATTATTATAATTATTATATTATCTGATTATTATTATTGTTATTATGATTATGCTTATTATTATTATATTATAATTATTATTATAATTATTATTCGTTAATCATCTAACTGATTCACATGCTTCCCTGGGTTAAGAACGCTGGCACCTCGGTATTGAATCAAGATGGCCCGTTAGATGCTGATGTTAAAAACATCTTGTTCTAGTTACCGCCTAAAACCCTACGGACTACACTGCATGTGTCCAAGACGACCGACTTTTGCATAGGTAAGTATAATTCAAAACGGTAATCCTAGTTGTTGCAGTGATGTTTTTAATTTTTTAGGTATTTCTCCAGTTGCTCCGATCACAATGGGGATGATGACTACTGTTTCCATGTCCCACATTTGGCGAATTTCATCGCTCAGGGGTAGGTATTTATGATTTTTTTGTCCATGTGTCTTTTCTAGGTTGGCTCCCATGGCACGCGAAATCTACTATGTATGTTTTGTTTTCATTTTTAGAGTGAGCACGATATCCGGTATATTATTACTTATCGGTCTATCAGTTATAATTTTCGATTCCAGTAGAGCCGGGTTTGTTCATCTTCGCACACAGCAGGCGGCTCGTATAAATAGTACGGCACTATTTCTGTCAACCCCCATGTACTTTTCACGAAGGCTTTGGTGGATTATCTTTCCGACTCTTTTGTGCCTGTCTAGGTAGGATTTCGGTGCCAACATTGAGCAGCCAGCGATGATGTGGTCCAGGTATTCATCCTTTTCACCGCACACACGACATCTGATATTGTCTTGTCGTTCCCGCATTATGTTTCTTTTATATACTTTAACATAGTTGCGATGACCTGATCTTGGATAGCAGATATGAACCCTTCTGTCTCAGCAAACAGGTTTCCAGAGCGGAGGTAGGCCGTAGATGCGAAGGTATCGATCTTATCGCTCTCGAGTAGGGTGCGGTATTACCATGAAGTGCCTTATTCTTCCATTGCTGCAGTTGTTGCTCGGGTATGAGCTGGTCCACGCTAAGCCTGAAGTTTTGGTCTGCCAGTCTTAAAGGAGTAGCCTTATTGTCCGCCCTTATGATAGCGTGGTGAATCTCACTGGACGCAGCCCTGGCGAGGAAGTAGTTCCTAAGGTTTGTTACTTGCCTGTTGTGGTTAATAACTAGATCAGGTATACCTCTTCCACCCAACTTTCTAGGCAGGTGGAACCTTTCCAATGATGAACGTGAATGATGTGCTCGAAATTTGCTGAACTTTTTTCTGGTTTTGATATTGAGGTTTTTGTGTTCGGTTGCTGTCCAGTGAATCACTCCAAATCTATAAGAAACTGCAGATGTGGCATAGGTGTTAACTGCTTTTGCCATGTTCCTGGCAGACAGCTTAGTCTTCAGTATCGACCGGATTCTTTTAATGTAGGTGTCACTTACTGTCTGCTTTGCTGCTGTATGATCTAGACCTCTTGCTTGCAGATATCCAAGATATTTGTACCTTTCTCCCTCTTCCATTCCGGCGATGGTTTGCCGCTCAGCAACTTCATATCCCGCGTGATGTACCCACTGGCCCTTCTCCATCCCGCTGGTCCTACATTTGTCCAGCCTAAATGACATTTTTATGTCGCGACTGAATCGGGTGACGCAAGTCAGAAGGTCGTCAAGGTGTTTTTTAGACTTTGCATACAGCTTTAAATCATCCATGTACCAAAGGTGGCTAATATTCTTGTCTGAGTGTGGCAGTATATAACCTTTGCGCTGCCTATTCAACATAGTTGTCAGGGGTCGCAGCGACAGACAGAACCATAGCGGACTTAATGCGTCCCCTTGGAATATTTCATTTTCTATTTTAATGGTACCTGCATCTACACTTTTTTTGGTTGGTGTTTAAGACAATTCTGATTTTCCACTGAGACATGGCGTAGTTCAGTAAATTCAGTACATGGGCCTCGACTTTATAAAGCTGCAGCACCTCGGATAGCCAGGAGTGAGGAACACTGTCAAACGCTTTTTGATAGTCTATATACGCTGTGTGCAAAGAGCGTTTGAGCGTTTCGCGTGAGATGTGATGACCGTATCTATTATTAATTGTTCTTTACACCCTCTGGATCCTTTTCGACAACCCTTCTGCTCTTCGTCCAACAGGTTATTTCTTTCCAGGTGGCTGTATATCTTTGCCGATAGGATGGACGTGAATATTTTATATATTGTAGGAAGGCAGGTGATCGGCCTATATTTGGATGGCTCTTCTGAGGACACCTTCGTTTTTGGTAACAAATAAGTGATACCACTGAATGGTGGTAGTTCTTCAGGGTTGGACAGCAGGTGAGTATAACATTTGGCTAGATGTTGATGAATGACCTTGAATTCTTTATACCAGAAATTTTGGATTTTATCCTGTCCAGGTGCCTTCCAATTCAAGGTCTTGTTTATAGCCTTGGATACTTGGTCGGTTGTTACTTCCCATTCCAACATTGTCCTGTAGGTTAGATGTACACCTCTTCTCGTCAGACAGCCATCTGAATTATTGTAATTATTATTATTATTATAATTATTATTATTGTTATAATTATTATTATTATTACAATTATTATTATTATTATTACTATTATTATTATTATTATTATTATTATTATAGTTATTATTATTATTATTATTATTACTATTATTATTGTTGTGAATCACATGGTTTCCCCAGGTTTTTTCCCAAAACGTTTTCATGGCGTCTGGTGTGGGGACCTTATTTCTTGCAGGGTTTCAATCTCGTGATCTTCAGACTCTAAATTTTTATAAAAGCTCCTTTCACTCCTGCTAAACTGACTATTGTGTTGACGTCTTGTGTTGCTTTCCTTATACCGTCGGAGTTTTTTAGCCATAGCCTTGAGTTTTTGTTTAAGGTGATCCAGTATTTCTGTTGCTGTTGGATTTTCGAGGCTTTCTTCCCTTTCAAGAATGGCTTTGGCTTTCTTAGTGACTGAGCTGCTGGGTTCAAGCTTTGATTTTGTGTCAGAATTCCTATGTCCCCCCTGATACTATCGATTTTATTAGTAATTCGGCGCTGCCATGCTGGCGTTACTGGAACATTTTTAACTTGAGTGTCCGTGGAGATTTTCTGCTTGTTTAGTGTTAGCACCGCTGCTGCTCCACTATAAATAAGGCTGTGCAGATTTTCGATGGGTATATCAGTTGTTATTTTGGAATCCAGAATTTTGTTGATTTCACCCCAATATAGATTTTGTCTTGTTATTATAAATTATTTTGGGAAGGCTAGGTTTCACCATAGGGTCCATTCCATCATAAAGCAAATGAATCCTTTCGAATACCAGCTCAGCAGCAGATGGTGATCTGTTGGCTTCCGGTACTGGGGCCGCTGGTTCATCATCAGCATTGGGGAGATCAGCAGGTACATTTATAGATAGTTCTATCGCAACTTCGCGCTTTATTTGTGTAACAATACCTGGAGATAGGCGTCTATTTATAAATATAGATCTTCGCTGGTCTATGATATTTTGTATAGTCTTGTGACGAAGCATTGGAAATTTTTCAGTTACCAGTCTATGTACTTCGCGGCTGTATGGAGTTTTGGCGGTTTCTAGTCGGGTTAATCTGTAATAGCAGCGAACCATGAATGCATTGATTTCTTCTGTCCACATGGTTCTTTGCCTAACTTGTGACGTGGTGGGCATGGGCTCTGATGGCCCAGCAACACCGACATCTTGGCTTGGTACCTTTGGTGGGGTGTAGTACTCGTCTGGGTTGGTAATCTGGTTGGTCCTTGTTCATTGCCGCGGTAGGTTGCAGGTAAATCTTCAAGACGGTTCCGACCCGGCTCCTGCTGCGCCGGCCCGCCTGAGTATCTCTTATTTCTCGTTTTAAGAGCATTTAAATATACACGTTCTAGGGGGTTGCTAACCCATAGAGCGGTGGTGTTAGTTTTTGTCCACCCCGGGTATTTTATTTTCCCGGTACCCTCCATATCTGGAGAACGTTTCCCAATTCGCACAGGAGGCGCCCGATGGAGACTAGCAACTCCACACCGGAGTTATTATTATATTATTATTATTATTATTATTATTATTATTATTATTATTATATTATTATTATTATAATTATTATTATTATTAGTATTATTATTATTATTATTATTATTATTATTATTATTATTATATTATTATTATATTATTATTAATATTATTATTATTATAATTATTGTAATTATTACTCTTATAATTATTATTATTATTATTATTATTATTATTATTATTATTATTGTAATTATTACTATTATAATTATTATTATTATTATTATTACATTTACTATTATTATTATTATAATTATTGTTATTATTATTATAATTATTATTATTATTATTATAATAATAATAATTATTATTATTATTTTATACTATTTTACTCCTCTGTCGAAGGTATTAATATTTCCCTCAGGCTAACCGCCAAAGTAAGGAAATAGATCTGCAGCGGTTTTTTCGCCGTATCCGGTTCTCATCTCCTAAAACCCTACGTACTGTCCTACATGTTCCCAGAAGTGCAGCTTGCTGCAACTGCAAGTATATTTTTGGATGGAGCTGTAGCTTTCCAGACTCTTGTGTAGTTTCCTTGGTATCTCTCCAGTAGCTCCTATGATAACTGGTATTACAGACACATTGCCCATTTCCCACATGCGTTTTATTTCGTCGGAGAGTGGCAAATACTTATTGATCTTTTCCGCATGGGTGGTTTGGATATTAGTAGGAAGAGGCACAGCTATGTCTATTATAAACGTCGTTCTTTCTTCTTTTAGTGTGAGCACTATGTCAGGAATATTGTTGGGGATGGGCCTGTCAGTTATGATTTTGCGATTCCAGTACAGCCTAGAGGTCTCCGTTTCTATCACAGGTGGCGGCGTGTATTTATAGTAGGGCTGTGTACCAGTTTCTCCTAGATGTTTTTTAGCCAAAGCTTGATAAAGTATTTTGGCCACATCATTGTGTCTTTCAAGATATTGTTTAGGAGCTAAGGGAGAGCAGCCTGCTACAATATGATCTATGTGCCCATCTTTTTCCCCACATATGCGGCATCTGATATCTTCAACGTTCTCATGCATTATACGCTTTCGGTACAACTTTGTTGGGACTACCTGATCCTGGATGGAGGCTATGAAGCCCTCCGTCTCCAGGAACAGATTACCTGACTGCAACCATCCTTGGGAAGCCTTTGTGTCAATGGCGTTGTGGTTTGGCTTTCCATTGGCAAACCAGATCCCGCATTGGGGTTATCTTTGCCTCAGGGTTGAAAGATGTTTCTGAAAGGTTTAGTGGTGTCAACTTTTTATCCGTCTGTGTTGTTGCTTGATGCATTCTGCTGGATGTGGCTTTTTGGAGGAAGTACTGGCGTAGATTGTCCACTTGGCGGTGGTGTAGTGTAGGTATGCAAGGTATTCCTCTACCGCCCTCACTTCGTGGTAGATGGAACCGCTCTATGGCACTATGTGGGTGGTGTCCCCGGTGTTTACGGAATTCTTTTCTGGTTTCCACATTAAGTGCGTTCAGTTCTGTATCCGTCCAGTTCAGTATGCCAAACGTGTAGGTAAGGACCGAAGTAGCGTAGGTGCTGACAGCAAGTGCTGTATTACGAGCTGACAAACTTGTTTTCAGCACTGCCCTCAAACGTGTTCTATAGTGCTCCATTGCCTTTTCTTTTGCAGCTTTCTGGTCTATGCCCGGCGCTTGTAGATAGCCTAAGTATTTATACCGTTCATCTTGCTGCATTCCTTCAATTTTCCCTTGCACTTGGTTCGGCTCATATCCTGAATGTTTACTCCATTGGCCTTTTACCATGCAACTGATCCTGCACTTGTCTAAGCCAAACAGCATTTTGATGTCAGTGCTGAATTTACTTACACAGTCCAGAAGCTTATGAAGATGTTCTTTGGTTTCTGCGAAAAGTTTGAGGTCATCCATCTACCAAAGATGTGAAATGCGTGTTTCATTGCCACCTAACAGTATTCCTTTCTTTTGGCTATTTAGCATTGATGTTAACGGTCTAAGCGCTAAGCAGAACCATAGCGGACTTAAAGAGTCTCCTTGAAATATTCCTCTCTTGATGGATACCTCTCCGGCACTAAATTGCGTATCTTGGGTGTTGAGATAGAGCCGTGTCTTCCAATTCGCCATAGCATGTGCCAGAAATTGTTTGATGTGGCACTCGATCCCATAAAGGTCAAGCACCTCTAACAGCCAAGAGTGAGGTATACTGTCAAACGCTTTCTGATAATCGATGTATGCAATGTACAGGGATATTCTTTTCTTTTTGGCATAATTAGTTATGACAGAGTCTATAACAAGTTGCTCTTTACAGCCTCGACACCCTTTTCGGCAACCTTTTTGCTCTTCGTCTAGTATAGTATTCCGCTCTAGGTGCGAATATATCTTTTCAGTAATTATAGCAGTCAATACCTTGTAAATAGTCGGCAGACAGGTGATTGGTCGGTATTTTGCCGGATCGTTCGAGTGACGGGATGGGATTAGATATGTTATTCCCATTGTTAAGAACTCTGGCAACATATCTGGTTGCTCTAAGATTGAGGTGTAACACTTTGCGAGTCGATCGTGAGCCGAAGTGAACGTTTTTAGCCAATAATTCTGAAGCTTATCTGATCCTGGGGCTTTCCAGTTTGGTAATTTTCGTAAAGTATTTACCACGTCATCTAAGCTTACTTTCCAGTCGAGCATGGTCCTAAAAGTGGAATTATTTGCTTTCTCTTTTCGGTACCATTTAGATGTGGAATGATTGATTGGATTGCTCCAAATTCCTGACCAGAAGGTGTTGATGGCATCTGAGGTAGGAATCTGAACGTTGTTCTGATCTGTATCGCTCCGTCGCACCTGCAAGTTCCTGTAAAAGCCTCGCTGATTGGTCTCGAATGCTCGATTTTGTTTCCGGCGTTCGTTGCTTTTCTTGTACCTTCGAAGTCGCAGTGCTGTAGCTGCTAGTTTTTGCTTCAGGTAGTCCAAGACTTCTACAACTGTTGGGTTCTCCTCCGAGCAGTGACGGTTTATCACATTCTCTGCGGATCTCTTTACTCTCAGACTATATTCAGACCTGCGGTACTGGGTGAGTAATGCTATGTACTTTCTAATCTCCTCTATATTACGCGATATCCTCATCTCCCAGGCTGGCAGTTTTTTGTTTTTCCTTACACATTGTTCGCCAACTCTCTGTTCATTTAATTTTAGGACTGTAAGTGCTCCAGTGTACAACATGCTATGGAGCTCAGTCAAGGTTGTATCTTCTGTAATCTCGTTATCTATTACTTTGTTAACTTCAGCGATATACTCAGATGTATGGGGTTTTATTATTAGCTTTGGTAGGCTTGGTTTAAGAGCTGGTTCCACACCATCATACTTCATGAACAAGCCCCTGAACTCATCTGCGTATTTAGAGGGTTTGCCGTCGTTTGCCTCAATTTGTTCTTGGTTTTCTGTGTGCTCTTGTGGAGCTTGTTCCTGAATTCCTAATTCTATGGATATCTCTTCTCTTTTGTTTATCTTCTCTGCCGGCAATCTGTTGTTTATGAATACGGATCGGCGCTGGTCTAGTATGTTTTGCACAGTTTTGCGTTGCAGGTGAGGGAAGTTCATGATAACTTGTTTGTGTAGTTCAGTACCATAGGGCTCTGTAGATGTTTCTAGTTTAGTGATTCTGTAGTAGGAGCGAACCATGAATCTGTTCATTTCGGTGGTCCACGTGGTTCTTTTTCTCCTCCTATTGTCTGGCATTATGGGCTGGGGCTCTTGGCTTCCAGCAACATGATTGCCATCTTCGACCCCAGGAAGCTGTTGGATGGAGTCATTCGAGTTACTTCTCACACTATCTGTGGGGGGCTTTCGCTGGATGACGACCGGGTGTGACCTTCCCCTACGCTCCCTGCCGGACGCGGACCTCGTCGCATAGCGTCGAGTCCCGATTACGTCGTTACATTCCGAGGCTTCATTTTGTTTTTTCTCCATTTCTGGGTAATTGTGGTCTCTTTTGATAGGTAGGTATAATTGTTTACCTAAAAGTGTTAAAACTCAGGCGTGGAAGAGAGACAAAAACCACGCCTGGATGAACAGGAGGTGTGCTGGCCGTACTGACTTTCCTTCGGTGTTAATAACACTAGCTCAACCACTTGGTCGAGGCCAGATGTTGCGTTGCTGGCTGTACCGTCTACGTCGTTACGGTAGCGGGTTTGAAACTGCTGGCGGCAGTCCCCTTACCGGCCAGACCCTTTATTATTATTATTATTATTATAATTATAATAATTGTAATTATTATTATTATTATTCTTATTATTATTATTAATAATATTATTATAATTATTGTAATTATTATTATTATTATAATTATTATTACAATTATTATTATTATTATTTTTATTATTATAATTATTGTAATTATTAATATTATAATTATTGTAATTATTATTTTTATAATTATTATTATTATTATAAATATTATTATTATTATTATTATTATAATTATTATTATTATTATTATAATTATTGTAATTATTATTATTATAATTATTATTATTCGTACCCTCCATATCTGGAGAGCGTTTCCCAATTCGCACAGGGAGGCGCCCGATGGGAGACTAGCAACTCCACACGGGAGTTATTATTATTATTATTGTTATTATTATTGTAATTATTATTATTATTATTATTATGATTATTATTATTATTATAATTATTGTAATTATTACTATTATAATTATTATTATTATTATTATAATTATTGTAATTATTATTTTTATAATTATTATTATTATTACTATTACTATTATTATTATTATTATTATTAGTATTATAATAATAATAATTATTATTATTATTATCATTATTATTATTTCATTTTTTTTTCACGCTACAGGACCGTTGTCTATTAGTAGCGGTATCTTATATGGAGCGGTTTGACCTCTACACCGGGTCCTCGCCGAGGACCTGAGGGGTACAGATCTTTGTAGTTTATGAGCTGGTTATGTTATAACTTTCCTAATTATGTGCGATGTGCCTAATAAGGCGATCTTCTGTAACTGATAGAAATTATGATCTCCTGGTATCCTTTTTAGGTTATCTAGTATGTTGCGAGTGACATATCCAGTTGAACCAATCACTACGGGAATAACAACTGCCTTTGTATGCCACATTCTTTGCACTTCTATGAGTAATGATTTGTATTTTAGTTGCTTTTCAGCCTCCTTTTGTATGACATGTCTATCTGCAGGTACCGATATATCAATTATATAGCACATTTCGGTGGTTTTTATAACAATATCTGGTCTGTTTGCTTTTATTTCTCTATCCGTGATAACGGGATGGTCATACATTATTGTGATACTACCATCTTCACTTTGTGTTATTCTGTCGGGGTGATGCTCATACCATTTCGTCGATTTTATTGGACAACCAAGGGGTGGCGAGACGCTTCTAGGTGGATGGCTGCGCAGACATTATTGTGCCTGTCAGTATATTCTTTTGGCGCTAGTATTGGACATGCAGATATTACATGTTCAACAGTTTCATTATGAATGTGACACAATCTGCATTTACCGTCATTCCTCGTCTTGTGTATTGCTTGCTCAATGTAACGCGTTTTCAAGGCTTGGTCTTGTGCTGCCACCAGCAAGCTTTCGGTTTCCCCTTATAAATCTCCGTATTGTAACCATCCAAATGACAGTCTTAAGTCAACCGGAAGCTCCTCCATTTGACGGATATGCTGTCCGTGTAGAGGCTTACTCCGCCATTTCTCTTCGACACATTGCTTCAGGTACAGTTTGATGGACCTGTTACCTCGCTCGACCGTATGTCCGGTTTCCGCAGCTTCTAATTTGATCTTATTACTACGCTTTATAATAGATCTATTTGTTGGTTTCCTATTGTCATGTGCTAGTAACATCTGTAGTAGGCGGTCTTGCTTAGATCTGGTTTGAATATACTGCCCTACTGAGAAGATAGTATTGTTGTACGTTTCTTCTATTTGCTTTAGTCCTCGTCCCCCTTTCTTTCGTGGCACGTATAATCTATCGATGTCTGCTTTGGGATGAAGGATATTATGTGTTGTCATTAGTTTTCTTGTTTTGCGATCCATTTGTCTTATGTCATCCAATGTCCAATTGATTATACCAAAGCTGTACTGCATGATTGGTATGGCAAGAGCTCCAATTGCTGTTATCTTGTTTCTAGACGTGAGTTGAGTTTGCAGAATTTTACGTACTCTCGTTATATACTCATGTCTAATATCAACTTTCAGTGAATCGTGGGTGATGTGTGGGCCTTCTTTAATTCCCAGGTACTTGTACACTCCGCCATGTTCTAGTGATTTGATCGTCTGTCCTTCATCAACTATTATATTAGCAGAGTCATTATTATCATTATTATTATAATTATAAATATTATTATTATTATAATTATTATTATTACTATTATAATTATTATAATTATAATTATTATTATTATAATTATCATAATAATTATTGTAATTATTATTTTTATAATTATTACTATTATTATAATTATTATTACTATTATTATTACTATTATTATTATTATTATTATTATTGTAATTATTATTATTATTATTATTATTATAATTATGATTATCATTATTAATATAATTATTGTAATTATTACTATTATAATAATAATTATTTTTATTATTATTATTATTAGTATTATAATTATTATTATTATTATCTTTATAGCCGTAGGGCTTTGTTACTCCCGTTAATCGGGGTGTTCTGGCTTAACCCGGACGTTTCAAGCATCAAAGGGGTAAGCCTCAATAGTGACCTCCCTAGGTACTTGCATTTCCCATAAATTTTCTTACTATGCGGGCAGTTGCCAGCAAAACTCCTTTCTGTATGATTTTGTAAATGTTTTCACTCAGTTCCAGCGCTTTGATGTTTTCTAGCAGCCTTCTTGGTATCACCCCTGTAGATGACATTATTATTGGTATTGTTTCCACGTACTTCATTTTCCACTGGCGTTTAATTTGAAATTCTAGCTCCCTGTATTTTGCAACTTTCTCATTATGTTTGTATGTTAAATTGTTACTATTAGGTATGGCCACATCAATCAGTGTTACTTTCTGGGCGCCCTTGTCGACAATGATTATGTCAGGTCTGTTTTGTTTTATGTATTGGTCGGTAAGCACAGTGCGATCCCAGTATAGTTTATACTTGTCGTTCTCGAGGACACATTGCGGTGTATATTTGTAGTACTGTAGCTTGCATTCGATCAGTTTGAATTTGTATGCCAACTCCTGGTGAATGATTTTGGCAGCTATGTCGTGGCGCTCCTTATAGTCCGTTGGAGCGAATGCTTGGCATCCACCAGTTACGTGCTGTATTGTTTCGGAGTCCTGACAGCCGTACCTGCATTTATCAGACTGTTGCAAGTTCTTAAGTATGAACCTCTTGTAATTGTTGGTAGGGATGACCTGGTCCTGTATAGCTACAAGGAATCCCTCAGTCTCAGGGAACATTTGGCCTGAGGTAAGCCAATAGTTTGACGCTTTCTTGTCAACGTTTATTATTATTATTATTATTATTATTATTATTATAATTATTATTATTATTATTATTATTATTATTATTATTATTATTTTTTTTTTTTTTTTTTTTTTTTTTTTTTTTTTTTTTTTTTTTTTTTTTTTTTTTTTTTCTTGCTCATAGTCCTCACGTATGGTGGTGTACTATCTTTGAGGGGGAGTTCACCCCAACCAAGGATAGTTTTTACAGAGACAGTGCCTTTCTCACAATATGACACGTTTGTAAGATAACGGCTTTTTGGAATAGTATGTGAAGGCCGTTTGGAAGGTCCAAGGTCTTTAAGCTTGAGGAGACTTGTTTGGTAACAGCCCCTTCCACGGAGATAACAATGGGTACAATCTGCACTTCCCTTAGCTTCCAAATCCTCTTCATTTCAATCGCCAGGTTCTGGTATTTAACAGATTTTTCACGCTCTACCTTGAGGATGTTGTGTGTAAGAGGAATTCCAACCTCAATTATCTGTGCATATTGGTTGCTTTTGTCTATCAGGACAATATCGGGACGGTTAAAGTCTACAGTTTTGTCGGTTAGAAATGGCCGATCCCAATAGAGTATTACATCTTTTGATTCCAGAACTGGCTCAGGCGTGTACTTGTAATATGGCGGAGGAGATTGTACCAAGTTAAGTTTACGAGCTAGCTGTGAATGGATTATTTTTGCAACCTGGTTGTGTCTTCCCAAATAATCGCCAGCTGCCAACGCAGGGCAAGCTTCAGTAATATGTTCGATGGTTTCGCCCGCCTGGTTGCACTTCCTACATTCATCTGGGACGTTGGATTTGAGAATATGTTTTTCATAGTTTTTTGTTTTTATTACTTTGTCCTGGATGGCAGTTATGAACCCTTCCGTTGTTGGATGGAGATATCCCTTTCTCAAATAGGTGAATGACAAAGCTTTATCTATGTTGTCACCTCTCAGTTGGCATGGGTAACGGCCATGGAGAATTTTCTCCTCCCAGCATTCTCTCCTCCTAGTATTCGATTCCGAGGCCGTATTTGCTTGAGGTTGCCGAAAGCTCAAAGGGGTAAATGAGTCATCTGCCTCCACTACAGCAGCTATCTTAGGACTTAGATGGTTATTAAAGTAATTTTGTAATTTGGCTATCTGAGACTTGCAGAGTTGTGTTATGTTGAGCAATCCGCGGCCCCCTTGTGCGCGAGGGAGGTACAGCCGTTCGGTTGATGCCTTTGGGTGGTGACAATGGAACTTTGTGAGCTTTACACGAGTGATTCTGTCTAGCTCTTCAAGGTCTGTATTACTCCATTTCACAATACCGAACGAATATGTAAGTGAACTTATTGCCCAACTGTTGATTGCTTTGAAAAGATTCTGCGAGTTTAATTTGGTGTTGAGTAGTTTTGTAAGCCGACGGATGTACTTTTCTCTATAGATTGACTTCATGGTAGAATGACACACACCCCTACTTTGGTGCATCCCCAGGTACTTATACGGTTGGTCTTCTGCTAGAGGCGCGATGTTTTCTAAATTTTCTTCCAAAGGAGTTAGGTTACCTTTCCTTATAGTGACAGTGGCGCACTTATCTAACCCAAACTTCATTCCTATATCATTGCTGAATATACTTGTCGTTCGCACTAGAGAAGCAAGATGTTGCCTTGACTCGGCGTATAGTTTGAGGTCATCCATATATAGCAGATGGTTGAATCTCACACTCACATCGAGCCTATACCCGAACTTGGAATTATTCAGCAGTGATGACAGTGGGTTCAGGGCTAGACAGAACCACATCGGGCTAAGAGAATCACCCTGAAATATGCCTCTGCGTATGCGCACGTCTCCTATGTCCTCCGAATTAACTCTTAAAGAGGTTCCCCAGTTCATCATCAGATGGGACAATAGGTTTATGATGCGGATGTCTACTTTATATATATCCAGCACCTTTAAAAGCCAATTATGTGGCACGGAATCAAACGCCTTGGAGTAGTCGATGTAGCAGACATGGAGATTTCTCTTATTTTTACACGCATGCTTCGTAATAACGGAATCAATTATAAGTTGTTCTTTGCATCCGAAAGAACCACGGACACACCCCTTCTGTTCTGTAGCAATGATATTGTTGCTTTCACAGTGAGTACATATTTGGTCATTCAAAAGTGCTGTTAGTAGTTTATAAAACACAGAGAGACATGTAATTGGTCTATAGTTTTTCGGATCCTCAGGATTGCCGTTTTTAAATATAAGATGTGTTATTCCTTTCGTCAAGAAGTTAGGTAATATCTCCGGGTTGGTGATTGCTTTAGAAAGTGATCGACCCAATGCAGCATGTGTGCTTAGGAACTTCTTGAGCCAAAAGTTCTGAATATTGTCGGGTCCCGGCGCTTTCCAATCAGCAGCATTTTTTAGCACTCTACTTACGTCATCTTGAGAGAATATTGCAACGCTCATTGGGTTTACCTTAGCTGCCTTCACTACCTCTTTGATCCAAGGCGCATTAAGGTCTGATGGCTTTGGTTCGGACCAAATATCACTCCAAAATTTAACAAAATTTTGCGTATCTCTAATGCCTTTGGGTTCCGAAGATGATTCTGAGATGATAGATCTGTAGAACTGGTTTTGGTTTCTCTCGAACAAAGCATTTTGCTGCTTTCTCTTGCTGGTCTCATTATATCTTTGGAGCCGGGCACCTTTCATTTTGGCTTCTTGCCTCATTTTATCTCTATGCAGGTTTAAAAATGAGCTATCGTTATCGCAGCTGGGGGGTACGTTAATTTTCCGTTTAATATCTGCAATTTTCTTGATCACCTTTCGGGACCTATTGCCTCCTTGGTATTCTGAAATGAGATCCGCCTCAGCTCTACATGAGTCAATATCTTTCATGAGTCTTAGTTTCCATGGCTCCTCACTACGTTTCGATGTCTTTTTAAGAGACGCGTCATTAGGTGGTAGTAACTTTTGACCATTCACGTTCACCACAGTAGCAGCTGCCGCATAGATAGATAGATGTACTTCTTCTAAGTCATCACAGTGTTCTAGGTGGCGTAAAAGAATTTCGTCCATCTGATGTATTATTTGATTGGATTTTGCATTTAGTAGAAGCTTTGGGAGCCTAGGCCTTTTTGTGGGGTCACTAAATCGGTAGAAGCTTAAGGTGCTTAGAAAAAGATCATTCAGCTCTTTTTGCTTTTGGCTAGTTACGCATTCAGGTTCGATATGCGGTTGATCCAGAACTGACAAACGTGTAGGGGCTACTTCATCGTTTATGGCATTTTGGGATATCGCTCTACCAACTTCACGTTTCAATTCATCCGTTTCGGTCTGGGTTAGATAACCGTTTTTCACAATAGTCCTTTTATTATTATTATTATTATAATTATTATTATTATTATTATTATAATTATTGTAATTATTATTATTATAATTTTTATTATTACTATTAATATTATTATTATTATTATAATTATTATAATTATAATTATTCTTATTATTATTATTATAATTATTGTTATTATTATTATTATTATCATTACTATAATTATTATTATTATTATAATTATTGTAATTATTATTATTATTATTATAATTATAATTATTATTATTATTATTATTTTTATTATTATAATTATTATTATAATTATTGGTAATATTATTATTTTTATTATTATTATTATTAGAATTGTAATTATTATTATTATTATTATAATTATAATTATTATTATTATAATTATTGTAATTATTAATATTACAACTATTATTATACTATAATTATTATTATAATTGTAATTATTATTATTATTATTACAATATTTTTTTTTTGATGGCGTCAACTTCTCTGGTTATTAGCCGTTATTACAATTATTATTATTATTATTATTATTATTATTTTTATTATTATAATTATTATAATTATTATTATTATTGTAATTATTATTATTATTATTATAATTATTGTAATTATTATTTTATTATTATTATAATTATTATAATTATATAATTATTATTATTATTATTATTATTATTATTATTATTATTATTATCATTATTATTACTATAATTATGATTATTATTATTATTGTAATTATTACTATTATAATTATTATTATATTATTTATACTATTTTACTCCTCTGTCGAAGTATTAATATTCCCTCAGGCGGTTAGCCAAAGTAAGGAAATAGATCTGCAGCGGTCTTTTCACCGTATCCGGTTCTCATCTCCTAAAACCCTACGTACTGTCCTACATGTTCCCAGCAGTGCAGCTTTTTGCAGTTGCAAGTATATTTTTGGATGGAGCTGTAGCTTTTCCAGACTCTTGTGTAGTTTCCTTGGTATCTCTCCAATAGCTCCTATTATAACTGGTATTATAGACACATTGCCCATTTCCCACATGCGTTTGATTTCGTCGGAGAGTGGCAAATACTTATTGATTTTTTCCGCATGGGTGGTTTGGATATTAGTAGGAAGAGGCACAGCTATGTCTATTATAAACGTCGTTCTTTCTTCTTTTAGTGTGAGCACTATGTCAGGAATATTGTTGGGGATGGGCCTGTCAGTTATGATTTTACGGTTCCAGTACAGCCTAGAGGTCTCCGTTTCTATCACAGGTGGCGGCGTGTATTTATAGTAGGGCTGTGTACCAGTTTCTCCTAGATGCTTTTTAGCCAAAGCTTGATAAAGTATTTTGGCCACATCATTGTGCCTTTCAAGATATTGTTTAGGAGCTAAGGGAGAGCACCCTGCTACAATATGATCTATGTGCTCATCTTTTTCCCCACATATGCGGCATCTGATATCGTCAACGTTCTCATGCATTATACGCTTTCGTTATTATAATTATTATTATTATTATTATTATTATTAATATATTATTATTATTATTATAATTATTGGTATTATTATTATAATATTGTAATATTAATGTTATAATTATTATTGTTATTATTATTATAATTATTATATAATTGTAATGTTATTATATATTAATATAATTATTATTATTCATATTATTATTAATTATTGTAATTATTATTTTTATAATTATTATATTATTATAATTACTGTTATTATTATTATTACAAATAATAATTATAATTATTATATTATGATATTATTATTATAATTATTATTAGTATTATTATTATGATTATTATAATTATCATTATTATATATTATTATTTATTATTATTATTATTATTATAATTATTATTATGATTATTATTATTATTATTATAATTATTATAAGTATTATTATTATTATTATAATTATTGTAATTATTACTATTATAATAATAATTATTATTATTATTATATATTATGATTATTATTATATAATTTGCAATATTACTATTATAATTATATTATTATTATAATTATTATATTATTATGATAATTATTATTCTTATAATTATTGTAATTATTACTATTATTACTATTATTATTATTATGTATTATTATTATAATTATTATTATTATTATTATTATTGTAATTATTATTATTCTTATAATTATTATTATAATGATTATTATTATTATTATAATTATTGTAATTATTACTACTATAATAATTATTATTTTTATTATCATTATTATTATTATAATTATTGTTATTATAATTATTATTATTATTATTATTATACTATTATTCTTATTATTATTATAATTATGATTATTATTATAATTATGATTATTATTATAATTATTGTAATTATCACTATTATAATTATTATTATTATTACAATTATTATTATTATTCCGTTTTCTGTTAGCTATTCTCTGCTACTGCAGGTGGTATCCTCAAACGCGGCATTATACAGCAAGCATCTGAGTGTGACTATTGGTTTCTCTTTGTCTATGTGGCTACATTCAGGACCTAGCGTGCTATATGACAACTACCTAAGATGGCAGCTTTCTGAAGTGAGAGGTATAGTTTCTGCGGCAGATTTAGTTTCTCAATATATTTATGTAGACTCTTAGGTATTTCTCCTGTGGCTCCGATCACTATTGGGATGACTTCAACTTTTTCTTGATTCCACAGTGTTTTTACTTCTGCAGCTAGGGGTAAGTACTTGCGAACCTTTTCTGTCTGCTTCTCAGCTATGTTATGTGGGGCAGGCACACTAATGTCAATTATGCAGGTAACTTGCTTCATTTTATCTTGAACTACGATATCTGGTTTGTTGTATTCCATGGTGTGATCTGTTTGAATTGTTCTATTCCAGTATATTTTATGGCTGTTAGTTTCTATAACTGGAGTCGGCTGGTACTTGTAATATGGGGTGCGGTCAGTTAGTATGTTCGCAGCATAACAAATTTCTTGGTGAACTATTTTCGCCACGTTGTCGTGGCGCTTCAGATGCTCAGTGGAAGCTAGGGGAGTGCAGCTCGTCAGGATATGCTCTATTGTTTCCGACTTGTTATGGCATATACGACATCTATCTTCAATGCTTTCTTCTTTCATGATGTATTTTCTATAGTTTAAGGTTGGTATCACCTGATCTTGAATGCCAATCATGAAACCTTCAGTTTCCGAAAATAGCTCCCCACTCTTCAGCCATCCATGTGACGCTTCTGCATCAATGTGATCTGAGCTGAGCATGGCTGGATGTCTTCCATGAAGCTGTTTGGACTTCCATTGATGATACCATTGTTCGTCGGTGGTCACATGGGTTAGAGGTTCATACTGTTCATCCGACAGGTTCAGTGGTGTGAACTTGTAGTCAGCTGAAGCTATATTTCTGTGATATGCAGACGTTTCGCCCTTTCTATAAAAGAATCTCCTGAGGTTTTCTATATTCCGCAGGTTAGCTGCTTTAAGGTCAATCACGCCTCGTCCCCCTTTGGATCTTGGCAAGTAGAATCTTTCGATCGAACTCTTGGGATGTCTTGCTCTATGATTTGTAAATAAGACTCTTATGTTTCTGTTTAGCTGCTCTAAGTCAGAGTCTGTCCACTTGATTATTCCGAAGCTATATGTTATTGTCGGAATAGCATATGTGTTAATGGCCCTTACTTTGTGTATTGCGGACAGATGAGTCTTAAGTATTGATTTGACCCTACTCGTTAATCTTTGCTTTAGAGCTTCTTTCATATCTTTGTGTTTGATACCCCTTGCTTGATCTAGTCCCAAATATGTATAGCTCTCTTTCTCAGACATGCTTCTTATTGTCTGACCCTGCTCCAACATAAACCCTGGGTGATCTTTCCATATGCCTTTTCTAATAGCCCCAATCTTACACTTGTCCAGGCCAAACTCCATTCTTGTGTCAGCACTGTATTTATTTATGGTTTTAAGCAACCTGTCCAGTCCATCCTTAGTGGCAGATATTAGTTTGATGTCATCCATGTAAGCTAGATGGCTTATTTGTAGGTTGTTCTGAAGCTTATAACCTTCGTTCTTCTTGTGCAGCATTCTAGATAGAGGTGCTAATACAATACAGTACCATAAAGCACTTAGTGCATCTCCCTGGAACATACCTCTTTTAATGCTGATGGCACCGATGTTGATATTTTCTTCTTTATGGGTTATTACAAGATTAGTTTTCCATTGAGGCATAAGGTTTTGCAGCAATCTCACTATACTAGGGCTGATTTTATATTTTTGGAGCATTTTATTATTATTACTATTATAATTATTGTAATTATAATTATAATTAATATTATTATTATTATTATAATTATTATTATTATTACTATTATTATTATTATTGTAATTATTACTATTATAATAATAATTATTATTGTAATTATAATTATAATTATTATTATTATTATTAATATTATTATTATAATTATTATTATTATTTTATTATTATTCCCTTTTCTAGATTACGTTTATCCAAGTTGAACAAGCCGGATGTCACATTATACAATTTATTTGTGAACTGTTACGCAGAACATGATGTGAAAAATATGAATGTCTACAAATTCAATAGACTATTGAAGAACTTTCTCATAGACAAGTGTTTTTACAGTGTCGATGATTATATTAATTATGTATTATATTTAAAATACAAAAATCTGTGACTTCAAATGTACAATCATGTATGTAATGTAGTCAATAAACTAAACTAAACTAAAAAAACTATTTATTTATTATTATTATTATTATTATAATTATTATTATTATAATTACTATTATTATTATTATTATTATTATTATTATTATTATTACTATTTTTATTATTATTATTATTATAATTATTATAATAATTGTAATTATTATTATTTTTATTATTCTAATTAATACTATTACAATTACTATTATTATAATTATTGTGATTATTATAATTATTATTATTATTTTGATTGTTATTATTATTATTGTAATTATTACTATAATAGTAATAATAAT